TTCACTGCCATTTTCCAGATCATCAAAAAGCAGAAAAAGAGAAAGCTCTTTGACCCATGATACTTGCCCTTTGATTCCCACTTCTGCTCAGACTTGGTAGGGGACCAGAGGAGCCCTTCACCCTGGGACACATTTACCTGACTCCTCTAGGGTGCTCAGAAAGTTCTAGAACCTTTACTTCCTTTCTTGCCTAAAAAAAAAAAAAATAAAAAATAAAAAAACAAAACAACAAAAACCCAACTTTACCTTCCTCTGCTCTGTACCTCCACTGCATTTTCCCAGAACTTGGTCTTAGAACAAGCACAATCTATGTGTACTCCCCATCCCTATGCTCACAGGGGAACTGGAACTGAATTAGCCATGCCCCTCAACCAGTGTCCTATGAACAGGCAGAGCTTTTGAGAGCTGATCCCCAACCTGAGAATTCCCCTGAACCTGCCTTAGACCAGGTGTAAACTGAAGCAACACCCATGAAGCATTAGCAGAGGCTAAGAGTATAATGGACACACACACGCACACACACACACACGTGTGTGTGCTCAAGAGCTACAGAGCCATGAGCTGTTTACAGACAGGGCTGTGTGCAAGGCACAGGGCCTGTTCTCTTATCCACTCTACCTTGAAGCTATCTGAGTATGCTTTTTTTACCATCTAGGTGGTGGGTCCTCATTACAAGGGCAGAAGCTGAAGCCTGAGACAGAGATGACTGCCATACCATTCTCTCAGAACTCTCTCTGGAAATGTAGAGTGCAACCTCTCCAAACAGCCACCTTCCCAGCGGCTAAGAGCCATGCCGCCTGGGCCACACCCCCAGGTAGGCATCCAGAAGTCCACAGAAGATTGTGACTCCACAGCCACTGAGCTCTCCAGCTCCCTTTGGAAGGCTCTATTTACACACTCACTCCCAAATGTCTGACTGCTGGATTTGCTTCTAGGTTAGCTTGTCCTCACTTTCCAGTCCACTTGCTAGAGGGAAATGCTGTCTTCTCTCCCTGAGCTGAGCCCCCTCTAACAGACTTCTGCTTTCAAGAGCAGTGCTGCTCCTGCCTTGTGTCCTGCTCCAGGCCTCTGGACCCCTGCCCACTGGAAGGGCTCTGCTCTCAGGCCTGGGGGAGGCTCTATGTCCCCAAGATGATGCTCCCACAAAAATCAGCAATGATGTCCCATGGTTCAGCAACAGCTGTAGTGTTTTCTCTTCCTTTAACTAGATCTTCTGGAGACCAGATTCAAGCAAAGGAAGAGCTGGATGCTTCTGCTGTGCAAAAGCTGCTCTTGGAAAGAATTCAATTTTTCTCCTTGCTTTAAGAAGAAAATCAGTCTGTAATCCCTAGTCATTTTCTGCTATGGGTTTCAATGAAATCTAAAGGGATAATAGAGTAAATGAATCACAAAATTTAAACTACAATTCCATTACATCCAAAGGGCTACCAGTATTCTTCAACTCCAATAGCACAGCTCCTTACTCTGCTGTCGCCATGGGCACCAGCAGGAAGAATAGACTATGCTGGGATCTGACTGGCTTTTGACTCCCTCTCTCTTTCTCATGCCTTCTTAACAGTAAAATTCCAGAAAAATCAAGTAAAAGGGAGCACCTACATAATAGATGCACATAGTGTAAGCTTCCCCAAATTAAGAGGACAAGACCTGCCAGCTTCTCTAGAGCCCCCAACACAGCTGCTCTGTCACCTGCAGAAATGCCCAACTGCCTGTGGAGGAGCCCCCCTTCACATGAAAGTTTCAAGAACCCAGCCTGCTCTGGCCCCAGCTGGCTTGCTTCACGCTTCCCAAGCAGGGAAGCCAAACTTCTTTGCTAGCAATACTTAGGGCTGTTCAAATTAGCTCACTAATAGGTTCTTCCTGACAAAATGGAAAATACGCTTTTCTAGAAAAAAGAAATAATTATGCCTCACCACTTTAAGAGGGAGACTCTGGTGACCCACTTAGGGAGTCTGCTTTCATACACAGACCTGACACACGTTGTCGTCCCTACTTAGAAAGACAGAAAGTGCAGGGTCCTGCCAGCTATGGTGGCACAACTGTGGTACTCTGGCCACATCTTAACAGCAAAATCCTGTCTGCCTTCACGTGATGGCCTTTTCACTGCTGTTTTTACAAAGTAGAGCCTATCCTCTACATGCACCTCTCTGTAGTTGCCAAAAAAGCCTCCTGGGATCACGTATTACATTTCGCTGCAGAGGAAACATAGGCGTTTATCTTTTACCCAGTAAGCACACAGAGGGCACAAGGGGCCATGCAAAGGAACTGTCACTGTAAAAGGCCAACACACAGGTCCAACCTGAGCTTGGATGTGAGGTGCTGGAAGAGTCCATCCCACAATGCTCAGTACATCCTTGTCTGAAGTGGTCCTCAGGACCAAACAGGCAAAGTGGGCCATTTTTTTTCTACCATAAAAATCTCAGGCGAAATCAAGACATCTCTTCCCAAAAATTTATTCTACTCACTAAAAATAATGAAAATGCTTTTGTCTAAAAATATTAAGCACTCTAGAATTTCTCCAAAGTAACTAAAATATCTCTTTTCTGAAAATTCTGGCACAACTTTTAACACTTTGGGGCTATTTTCTATTTCATAGTGAGCTGTACTAGAACAGTCACCATAAAAATCATTATTAAAATTAAAGCTTAGAAAAAGAAAATTAGCCTTCTCTGGCAAAATCTCTACGTATAATGAGACAGTCTTTATCCAGTCACTAAAACTCAGTGCACAAACTGAATGTTAGCTGTTTGGCATTGTTTTGGTTTTGTTGTTCTGTTTTGTTTTAAACCTGAAGAAACTTGCATTTTCTGGTGATAGCTACTCAATGGCCACAGCCTATAAACTCACACTATAAAAAAGAGGGAACCTTAATTTAAAAAATAATTTAATTATAGTTTCCCCCTACAGAGGAAATGTACACTATAAAACAAGGACTCAGATGTGGCCGTGAAATAAACTGCCTATATCTACATTTTCAATATCTACACTTTTATGAATGCAACTGAAAATAAACCAAAAATATTTTTTTTTACTAAAACATCCTTGGCTTTAATATCCAAGATAAGAAGACAGGATAATGCTTTTCTAAGACCCTAAAGAGAAAGCTCAGTGCAGCCTTAAACAGGAGTACCCAGGACAGCTGCAATGTTTCAAAAGGAGTCCTAAGAGACTTGGACAGGTGGAGGTCCATCTCAGAAAGGGCTCCCAGGGACAAATGAATCTAAGAAAAAATGAGACAATGACAAAGCTGGCACATTCCAGTTCCCATTTGCATGGATAGCAAACCCTACCATCAGCAAAGCTTTCAGGGCCAAAACACTGAGGTTGAGAACTGGGCTTCCACTTTCGAGGCCCCCACATACACACCATGGCCTGTTGTCTTGTGAAGGGGCCCCAGCAATCCCACTATACATGCTGTGCTGCTCTAGAGCCAGGAGGAGAAGGAGAGGGCCTTCCATCAACGTTAAACCGGGTTGCGGCAAGTTTAAGTCTGACAAAAGTACTTTAGTGTGGCTTCATTTCCCTTTACTATCACACTGCCAAAAACTACACAAACAATGCACCATAGAAGTGTGTAAAAGCCCGACACAGGCTTGACAGCTAAACACAAGCACATGTTGCCCTGCTCTGAGTGCCATTTGGAGGGTGCTGAGTCTACCTGGAAGGAGCTCTGGTAGCACAGTGCTTAAGGGCTCAGTGGTTTGGACCCGCCAGCAGCTCTATGGAGAAAGATGAAGCCATCTGCTTCCAGAGATTCTCATTCACTGCCGTCTGGTTGACTCTGACTCATAGGGACCCTCCACAGGGTCTGAGTGAGCTGTGTGTCTTACTGAGGACTATGCCACCAGAGCTGTTCTGCTCCTCTTACAGGTTACTGCCCTACTGGGTAGTTCTACCCTGCCCCACAAGTCAATGCAAGCTGAAAACAACTTCAGGATAATGGGTTATGTTTGGCCTTTGCAAGTCTATCAAGTCTGAGTCTTCCAAGGAGGCTGACACCAGTATGCCCCCAGCCTGAAGAGCCAATGACTTCAGAAAACCTCTCAGCAGCTCTGCAGCACAAGTGTTAACCTTCTCCTCTTTCCTGTCAGCCACTACCCGCCCCCACCTCAGACACTGCCCCACTTCTGTGTACCCAACTCTGGAACTTCTGAACCTGAAGATCCCAGCCATCCACTCCACTTCAGATAAAACTCAGCAGGTTAAAACCTCTCCATAATTCCACTCGCCAAAAAAGTGGGCGAGAAAATACAGAGTTTTTTTCCTTTCCATTTTCTAGTTCATGCTCAACAGAAACTGATCAAAAACCCCAGTGGTCATAACCTTCCCTAAGATCCGGGAAGCTGCTCACAGTCATTCTATCAGACACATGTTTTCTTTCAAAATTGAGTGGAGGACACGTTAAATTTTAAAAAGTTAAGAATATGGCCTTTCAAAGAGGTTCCTTCCTTGAGTAAATGCTCCCCCAACGCCCCTAACCGGCACCCTGGCAATGCAAACCTTCACAAAAGGTATTCTATGCTTTCAGTCAGTCCAGGGTGCAGCCTCTGGGAACTCACCACCCAGAAGGGACAGGATCGACACCCAGCGGCCAGAAACTGAAGGGGGAAACAAGACTTACCAGTCCCTTTTCCCTCACCCACTCTGGAGTCCCCATTCTCTAGCCCATGTCTACCTGATACAGCGCATGTTACTGCAGCATCAACTCAAGCGTTCTCCTCGCCCCAGAAATAGTGATCTGTTGGCAAAATACACTTGGCTGTGCCGCTCGGGAGCATCAGGACATCTCTTTCTGAGGCCTTTGGAAGCTGTACCCGGTCAATGTGCGCGCGTGAATGTGGGTGTGAGTGTGCGCGTGAGTGTGAGCTCTCCCTCCTCCGTGCGACACGAGGCCACAGCCGATGTGCACGCACGCTCAGTGACAGCTCCCCTGCCCGCAGCTACTCTTCTGCAAGGAGTCCTGGGCGCCACGGCTGTTCTCTCTTCCCTGCCTGGTCCGCAAGCTATCTGCAGCCGCATGCCTCCACCACCATGTCTTCGTACTGTTTGTAGACCACGTTGTTGGCAGCGTCAATGTAGAGGATGCTGATGGGGCTGAGGCGAGCGGGCACGCAGCAGGAGGCCGGCGCCGCATCGGGCGCCATGGAGTTGAGCAACGTCTGAATGATGGCGTGGTTGGTGGGTTCGAGATGCGAGCGCAGCGGGAAATCGCAAACGCCTTCGCAGTGGTACGCCTCGTAGTCCAGCGGCGCGATGATCCAGTCGTCCCAGCCCAGCTCCTTGAAGTCCACGTGCAGAGGCTTGCGGCTACAGCGGCTCCGGCCCCTGCGCCCGTGGCCCCGGCCCCCGCCCCCTCCGCTGCCCGGCGCCGCCCGAGCCCCAGTCAGTGTGGTCCGTCTGCGCCTGCGGCCGCTGGAAACCACCTTCAGTACACCGGGACCAGGTCCCGGGTCAGGCGGCGACTCTGCGGCCAGCGCTGCCCCGAGCACGCGGGCTTGGGCGCGGATCTCCCGGAAAAGGCTCTCCTTCTTCTGCGTGCGGGAGGAAACGACGAGCAGCGCGCGATCTTCCACCGCGGCGCCGCCTCCGCTTCGCGAGCCTAAGCCTAGAAGCCGCGGTGCCAGCGGACTCCGCGCGGGCCCGGCCACCACGCGTAGCAGGAGGCAGAAGGCCCGGCCAGCACGCGGCTCCCGGCGCTGGCGCCGCACGGCGTCCGTCACGTCGAACACCTCCCAGCGCGCGGCGTCCAGGCGCTCCGCGGCCCGCGAGTGCAGCAGGCGCGGCGCGCGAGCGGCGCCGGGGCACGTGGACAGCAGCAGCAGCGGCGGCGGAGTTGCGCCAAGGGGACCTGGCTCCAAAGATGGGCGTCGCAGCACGCGCAGCTCAGCGCCCACCACTTCATCGGCGTCCGTGAGGCTCGACACATTGAACAAGAAGCTCTGACCAGTCTCTGCTGCGGAATCGTCTGCAAGGGACAGGAGGAGAATGAGTGAGAGAAAAGTCTGCAAACCTGGCCATCAGCCCTTCTAATTGCAAATGGCCACCGCCTTCGATTCAGAAGAAGCATCCGGATTCAGAACCAAGTTGCAACAGTTTGCGCTGGTCCCTGCGTCTGGGCCAAGGGAAAGGGTACCCGTACCTTCGCCACAACTGTGGGGTCAGGGGCTCTGGGTCAGCTATCCATTAAAGGCTCCTGATTGTCCCTCGCCTGCTCTTGGGGCTAGCCTAAGACCAGGACAGTAGCCGCCTGCCTGGAACCACTAGTATGAGAAGACAAGATCAGAGCGCAGATTTCCAGGGAGGCCAGTTGGGCTGTTTACCTAAATCTCCTAGCTATGACCTGTATGGGATCAGCTCCTTAGGCTAGTCCAGGCTTTAAGAAAACGGAAAATGCTTGTCCTCTGAGAAACCCTTTCTTCTGCTACATTTGTTCTTCCAAAAAGATTGGAGTGGTAAAGGGCTGCAGAGGCCCTGCAGTCCAACCTCGAAGGAGCACTGAGGCCCAGATAGGGGCCACATTCCGTCCAAGGTCTCACAGCAAATGAGCCCTGCTAGTCCCAATGGGAACCCGACGCTCAGCTCCTCCCCATATCCCCGCGGCCTCCAACAGCTGGGAAAAGGCTGCAAAGGAACGTAACTTTGTCTGAAGGGGTCCCAGCAGCCTATGCCTGCCTGCCTTGGGACCGCGAGGGCAGGGGTCTCTCACGAATGAGCGCTCATCTCTTGAACCTATCCATCCCTTTATAAGCTTATTCTTTCCTTCCGTTGTGACTTATCTGACGTGGGGGGTTTTTTTCCAGCCTGGCCTTTTTGTGTGAGGGGGAGGGGGACTGGAAAAAAGTTAAAATTCCACCAACAGGAGATAAGGACTTCCCTTTGAAGAGGGTCATATGGTTTCGTTTTGCCCCAAACTCAGAGGCTATGCGGACTTCCCCTGCCCCTGAAGATTTGCTTGCTAACTCCAGCCTCTCTGTCTGAGGTCTCCTTAAGATTGATGGCGTCCTGGGACCTCAAATAACCTCATTTCAAGTGGATGGAGATGGACCTGAAGGGCAAGTGCTCCCTACCGCTGCTCCTGGCACAAGGGCTTGTTTGAACATTTCCTCCCATATTTCCCTCCATACCCTCAGGCCTCTCCTGGACTCAAGCTCCCAATGACTGCAATCTCCCAGAGAAGAGGTGGCCTCAGCAAGCCTACCCAGACAAGCAGGAGGGAGCTTTCTAAGGAAAGGAGGGGTTTTGACTCAAGTTCACTCAGAGGCAGGCCTAATTTCACCTGAAAATGCTTGCTGGTGCCCAGGGGAGTTTAGGATCAAAGCGTACCCCTCCTCTCCTGTAGCCTCAGAGTCAATACTTCCAGTTCACCCTTACAGTACTTGGTCTGGTGGACCGGAGTTCCTACGGGCTTCCAAGATTAGAACCTCAGCACCAGTTCCAGCAGACGGTGAAGAGTGCTTGAGCGTTCCCATCTACTTACAGGGCTACTGGAACCTAGGATTTCCTTACGTTCAAAATAAAGCATACGTTTACTTGCAGGAGGGAGTGGCTCATTTCCCTGCTGCACTACCTCTGCAGGCTTTAACGGGTTAGAGGACAAGGTGCGCAGTCTGTCAGTGGCTGGCCGACAGAAGCTGCCTGAGAGCAACAACACTTAACTTTACAGCTCCATTCCTCTGTTTCTTTCGTCCTTCCTTCTATGCTGGGTCTCTGGCTGGATAGAATTAAGGCCGAAATTACTTGAATTTCCGCCTGAAATTAGTTAAAATTTCCCTATCTGTCTGCTTTTATGACTTCAATAGAGATTAATAAAATCCAGATGATGCATAGCAACCAGCACAGGACCTCACCCACGTCCTTACCTCTGGAGAGGTCAGGGCAGAGTAAGGTGGGACGCTTGGTCTGAGAGGGACTGGTATTCCATTCTACAAAACCAGATACTTGATGTCTGGCCCTAAGGGTTGAAGGGAGCAGCATCGGACACAGGCAGGGCACAAGACTGGATCACACTATACAAGCCACTACCACCGAAAAAACAGCCAGCGAAGATTCCCTTTCACACCTGATGAAACACCAGCCAAGACCATTTCCTTTAATCTTACACCTGCCTCAGCTTCAAATTCCCAAGGGCTTCCCCGGTTTGCACGGCCCCTGGGAATTGCAAAGAACCTGCCTCACGGACACCATCACTGCGCAGTCCCTCTAGGCCCCAGACTCCTAAAGTCTGCGCTCCTACCCTCCTTTCTTCCCCGTAGCCTCGGCCCCCAAACCGGTCCGCACCCTTCCCCAACTAGTGTACCGCAGACTCTGTCTACCTCCCCTAGGGGACCCGCGGCAGGCAGGGCTTGAGAACCCTGCAGAGGAACCCGCGACCAGCCCTCATGAGCTACTCTGGTTCGCGCTACAATCTTGGCGAAGCAGATTCGGTTGCATGGGCCTCATTAAAGTTTCTAACACCTGAGGCTGGTGTATGCGGGGCCCCTAAAAGAGAGACGCTGGGGGCACAGTTCCCGCAGCGGCCTCAGCCCGGGACAGCATGGGCGGGCACAGGAGAGGCGTGGGTACCTTGAGTCGCCTGGTCTGCGAAGCCGGTGATTGTGTCCGCGTGACTGTGGTGACCCGAGGCGGAGGCGGCTGCGGCCTCGGCCGGAGCCCCCCCGGACAGGCTCCGGTAAAGCGACATCATGAACTGGTGAGGCACCACGGAGCCGTTCCTGAAGGCAGAGCCGGCTGCGCGGCGCGCAACGCGGAGCCGCGACACCACGGCGGCCGGGGCGGCGGCCGGATCCGTAGCCGGGACGGGATTTCGCACGCCGCCGCCCCCGGGACCCCCGGCCGGCCCTGCCCCCGCCGCTCGCAGCACGGCGGCCGCCTCCAGCCCGTCGCGGGGGCGGCAGGCGCTCAGCAGCCAGAGGCACAGCGCGGCGGCGGCGCTCAGGTCCATGGGTTCCGTGGGCCGGGCGGGCTGGCGGCGCGGGCTCCGTGGCTCCGGGAAGTCCCCCGGCGCCTTTTGAACATAGTGTTTAATAATGGGGGAAGTGTGCGCAGCAAGCCACGGCCCCCCCTCCTCTCCCCCCCCCCCCGCCCAACGCCCGAAGCAGCGCCCCCTGCCGAACACTCTAGTGGCAGCGACGCACCCCCTCATTCTGGCCTAACGTGAAGTTGGAGATCAGCCTCCTCCCTTCATAGGGCCTCGGCCCACCGTCGCCAAGAGTGCGACCGGCTGGAGGTTCCCGCCGCAACCGAGAGCCCGCCTCCCTTCCTCGTGACAACACGGTCCCCCCAGATACATACCCACCCAGTCGCTCCAGAACCCTGTGCGCCCTCCCAAGTTCTTGCTCAGTGGTATCGCACGCACCCGCCCAGCTTCTTCCCGACTCCCCTTCGAAGAAGCGACCCGCCCCCCTCTCCGTCCCCTCGGCTGATGCTCAGGGCGCCGGAGGTGGGGCTACAGAAGGACTGGGCCCCGCCTGGCCCGGTCACGACCCCTGGGCCAGCGAGCATGGAGAGGCCACAAGGGCGCGCAGAAGCCTCACTATCTCGTTTTCGGTCACAGGGTTGGCTGCTTCCCAGCCTGTCACTGCCTCCCAAAGAATCAATGAGCAACCGAAGCAGGGGAAGGGGACCCTTTGGGAAGGGAAAGAAGACAAGCAGCTGGAACGGTAGGGCGCACCGAAACAGATGGCCACTAAACAGCCATCGGAAAGGAATAACTTGGACACAGAATTCGCGCTGCTGCGAGATCCAAGTAGTAAGCAAGAATCAATGAATGCCTGCCTGAGGGTGATAAGGAGACGCATGTGCGGGAATGGCGCTCTTCCTTCCATGCTGCGATGGTGGTGACCTTCCATCTACCATCTAGAAGGGTCAGCAGTCAGCTTCTTCAAGGTGGGGCCGACCAACAGAGACGAGGACCAGGTATGTCCTATGCAGCCTTGAAGCCAGGAAGGCGTGCTGCGGAGAGCATGGCCAACCATAGTGTCTCCTGCTTAGTTCATTCCAGCGGTGATTGTCGCATGGGGCTGGGTGAGTGGAGGGGACTTGCAGTCGAGGTGCGCAGTGTGTTTGCAACAAGCAGGAGGAGGTCCCAGAGTTCAAAATCTCAGGACTCAGGAAAGGGAGCCCAGCGGAGAGTAGCGTCTCATTTCGACGGTAGTGCGGCAGTGTGCTCGAGCAGCTTTAGACAGTGGAGGGTGTGGGAGCGACAGATAAAACGGATACATGGCTACAGGGTAGGCGCACCCTTTTCCTCTAAGACTGCTTTTGCTACAGACTCTCGAAATCTAGCCCTGCACAGTTCTTGGTAATCACTTTGACAGATAATCGGCATCTGTATGACACCTCTCTTATTACAAAGTCGCGTTGGCCCCGATCCTGGTTGGGCTGCACTGCACCCTGACAGAAACAAGAGGCCTAAGGAGGTTTCCCAAACTTTCCACTTGAGAAATGTTGGCCTCTTCTTCCCAAGCGAAAGCGCTGGAACTCCTGCGCTCGAACTGCTCCGCCATTGTCATCCTGGGCCCAGGAAGACGCAATGCCTGTCTAGGCTTCACTCACACGCGGAGGTATATGGGTCGTCAGAAAAGGGGATCTGGCTAGGGCCACTACTGGCATACTTGAAGATTGAGTGCACCCAAAAGCGGCGAGCTTAGCGTGGGAGGATCTGGGAGCGTTTCTGGGCCAGGTTTTCTAGTTGCCAAAGGGTGCTGCCCGGGTTAAAGTTGTCCATAGTTGTATTAACTCATCCTGCTTTGGGTATCAAGGGTGGAAATTCATCTTTCACTATTCTGTGCTTGTGGTGCCTGATAACAACAACAACAAAACCAAAACAAACTCAAAGAATAAACAAACAAAACCCTACTCTATGGGAATTCATCCATGTTGGCTGTCAGAACCCAAGACACTGACTAGGTCCCCATAGTCTTATTTGACCTCCTTTCACCCCGCAACCATGCACAGCCCTTGATTGTTTAGATTCAACTACAGTATGATTTGTGCAAACGTTTGGGAGCCCAGAACTGGAGTGGAGAGTTCTGCTTCCAGATGTGCCTTTGACCTTGGGCAGCAATTCCATGCATGGCCTTATCTCCCAATATGGAGAAAGTAGGAGTGATTTGCAAGCGGCCCTGGCATAGGCTTGACATAACACTGCTACTTAAGCACTTGTTTGCACGATCCTTGTGTGCTGAAGGTCACCTTGGGGCTTAGGAATCAGAGATGGCTTAGAGCTCCAGAGAACCTTCCTCCTGTATCTGTGGGAGCAAATCACTTAGCTTCACTGAGATGCAATTCCCTTGTGTGTAGAATGGAGAGATTCTCACCTAAGAAGTGACCAGGATAATAAACTGGCACAGGAGAGGCTCAGCAATTGTATTCCCCAAGGTAGCAGAGATAGAGAACAGCCATTTGTGTTGGAAAGCTTTGAAGGAGCCTGCACTGCCCAGCAACTGTCAGACGTAGGAGGACAATCTGTAGTTGTTGTTGTTTGTTAGTTGTTGTGTACCACAGTCAGAACCAACCCATAACTGACCCATAGTTTTCAGAGGCAGTTAATCACTTAGAAGGAGATTGCCTCTCCTTCTCCCGAAGAGTTGCTGGTGTCCTCGAACCACATGCCTTCAGGATTGCAGTGCAGCTTCTTGCTACTAGGCCACTGGAGCTCTTAGTGAGAATGCTAATTTTGTTGTACATTCATTTGTCCATCCATCCATCCATCCATCCATCTCCATCCATTTCTTTCCAATAAATACTTATCAGCCTTAATACTCTTTCATATATTATGACATAAGCAATGAACAGGACAAACATTTCAGCTAGTGCGGGCATAATACAATACATTATCAGGTGGTAAAAAGTAAAATTATGGAAAATCTGGACTGGAGGAGGAGAGGACTTGATCAGCAGAGGACATACTGGAGTGAAGCCCAGAAAGGAGGGAGGAGCAGAGGATATTTGGGCCATGTCTGGCTCCCTCCCTTTCCCCTTAAATAATGATAGTAACCATTTGTTACCCTCTCTATGCTGGGCATCATGCCAGCCCTTCATATATCTCATGTCACTTCATTTTCTTGCCTCCTCTTTTCTGCAAGGTGAGTATGCCTGTTCTAATTTATTAGATCAGGGAAGAGGACTCAAAAGTTTGACACTTTGCCCATGGAGTCCTGGTGGGTGGTAGAGTTATCTTTGCTCTCGCAGTGCCTGCTTGCGTATGGGATTTGGCAGTAGGAAAAGCTGTGTGCTCTGAAAGCTGCTAAGGGCATTGTGAAGGGAATGCTCCTTCCCTTGTGCTTTTCAGTCCCTGGAAAACTTGATGAGGCCCAGAGGCAGATGAGAGGAAGCAGAGTTCAGAGACTGATAGAAAATTAGCCTCAGCAAACCCCAAATCTCCAAACTCTAGCAATCTCCTTAGAAGAGGTGGTAATAGTTCCAGCAGGGGGAGGAGAGCAACAGCAGTGTATATGGAGAAACTGTTTCCTAGCTCTGGTGGTAGCCAGTAAGGAGTTGTGTTGCCATCGCACTGGCAAGTTCGTCTTTGAATCTACTAGTTGCTCTGAGCGAAAAAGATGGGCAGTCTCCTTCTGTGTGATTTACAGCCTCTAAAAACCTGCACTGAGTGTCAACTTGGTTCTAACTCAATGGTAATGAAAAAGAGGGATAAAGAGGGATTGTTCCCACATTCTCACCTCAGATCCTTCCCTGGGGCAGTGTTTTGCTGCTTGCCATCCCATACAGAAGCCATTTGCTTTCTCAGAGCATCAAGTCTGATTCAGAGGCACATTCTCCAAGGATCTGAAAGAACATTTATGTTATTTAGGACAACTTTCCATGCCATGTATGAATCAAAATGAGTGGCTAGCCAGGCTGTGGAGTCCCTGGTAGTCCGAACACTTAACATGCTTGACCGCTAAAAGGTTGTACATTTAAGTTCACTCAGAGAGGCCTCAGAGGAAAGCCCTGATAATCTCCTTCCAAAGAAATTGGCCACTGAAAACACCATGGAACACAATTCTCCCATGACACCATGGAGCAGCCATGAATCAGAATCGACTCAATGGCAACTTCCTTCCTAGGCTGTGTGTTCATACCCGCAGAGATTAGAGTCAGCTTCCTCACCCCAGGAGCACCTGTGGAAGCCCAGCATCTCTCAAAGTCACCTTTCCTGTGTGGAGTTAAGGTGCCTTCTGGAAAGCTTGGCACTGAAGTTAGTAGAATCGTATTAGAGTGACTTTCAGGCACTGGTACCTAGCTGGACCAGTCCCAGCTGTAGACTGCTCAACCTTGCATTAATGTCTCCTCCCATACCCAGACACAAGTCCTCACCACCAGCCCTCATGTTTCAGGGTGTCTTACTTTTCTGTTGTTGTTATGCGCCATCGAGTTGAAACCAACATATAGCTGACCCTCTAACAGGTTTTCAGAGGCTATAAATCCCACAGGAGGGGCTTACTCATCTTTCTTCTGTGGAGCACAGGGTGGCATCAAGCCACGTGTCATTGAGTTGCAACTCTTTACTGCTAGGCCACCAGAGCTCTGTGTTTGTTATCTAGTGCTGCTGTAACAATACCACGCATAGGTGGCTTTGTTGTTATAGTGTACCACAGAGTTGGAAATGACCCATAGCTGACCCTAGTGGGTTTTCAGAGGCAGTTAATTGCATGGAAGGAAATTGCCCATTCTTCTCCTGTGGAGCAGCTGGTGGCCTCGAACCATGTGCCTTCTTGCCACTAGGCCACCAGAGCTCCTCTAGGTAGCTTTAAAACCTATTACAGTTGTTGTGTTCTAAGTGGGAACCAGCTCCTAGCTGACACTCTAGCAAGTTTTCAAAGACTATTGCCTGTCTTTCTCCCTCAGAGAAACTGGTGGGTTCAAATTGCCTGCCTTTGGGTCGGCAGCACAGCTCTTTAGCACTAAGCCACCAGAGCTCCCTGCATAGGAGGCTATAAA